CATGACTCAAACTAAAATTGCGCTACCTCCCGAGGTTGCATCAGTTTGAAGCATGGTTAAAACTCCAGCCGTTGCACCCCTTGGAAGTAGCACACAAATGTGAGAGTAGCATTACTATGCTTAGAGGTTTCTTTGGCTTTTAACAAAGCAAAACCTAAGCCAAACTAAATCATTATAGACAAATTCATTATTTCTATATTTTTCTTTCTTAAATAGAATGATATTTCTATATTTTGTTTTTAATATGGTACCGTTTGACGATCTCGAACCCATAATTAAATTAATACAAATAAGAGAATACTAAAGTGTATTGATGCATTAATACAAATTATCTCGAACCCATAATTAAATTAGTTTGCAACACCTTCTAACATCTACCTATTCATAAATTAATAAAATTGATTCTAATTATATTTTTTTAATGGTGAAAGTTCTTTTAATTTTATTTAATTATACCATAAAATTTGTTTATAGTGTCCCGTTTGAGCATAATCTCTCATGGCTTTGCTTTGGGCTTCCCCAAAGGGCCTCATGACGATGGAGATACTATTCCTCACTTATAAATCCATGATCTTCCACTAAATTAACCACTCTCCCAATAATCCTCAACAATGACAATCATACACAACCAACTTCCTTCTGCACTAGGCCAAGTCATTTAGCTCGACCTTGCCTCTACTCATTTGGCTCGACCTTGCCTCTACTCGGAGCCAAGGTCTCTCAATGCAACGTCACATCTCATCTTGTCTTGATCCCCATTGACATGGTCAATATGTCTTGACACCATCCCAAGTCTTGAGGTGTCGTCAGCCATCACAACTCACTCGTTCATGCCATCGAGAACGGACCCGCGTGTCATTCATCTATCGAGATATCTCGAACATCCATTCACCACTGAACCATGGTGGTGGTAAAAATTTATGTATAAGGACGTCAAATTCTTTTAATGGATGATAGATGAAGAATGAATAATGTCCAAATAATTATTGCAACAATAGTTGATGAAAACTCCTTTCATACAAATTCATTACTTTCATATATGAATTCAATATTTCCATCTTTAAATGATTTCATCTGGTGATTTACTTTGTAAAATATTTTGAATATTCAAACTAAATTTTCAAACAAATAAAAAAATGGGTTAATAAAAATTTTACTAAATTACAGACAAACTTACCAAAACTGCTATAAATCTTTCTCAAAACTTTAAAACAATAAAAGATTTAAAAAGATACAAACAAACAACAATTTATTTCAAAAGTAACCTTCGAGTTAAATGCAAGAATGGATACTAGGGATCGGGATTCAACCAAAAGTAACATTCTCTCGAGACACTCATCTAGCAATGTTCGCCTTCACTGTGACCAAAGCATAAGCAACAGAGTAGCTAGCTTAGGCCACATGACCAAAGGGTGGTAGGGAGCCTTCACTGTGACCCAGACATAAGCAACGGAGTAGCTCGCTTAGACCACATGACCAAAGGGTGGTGGAGAGTTGACACAATGACTTCCTCTAAGGTACATATTGAGGTATTAAAAATCTTGAAAGTATAGACATGATTTAGGCGAACCATCACATAGTGTCATAGAGCATCCTAGTGTTCAATTGACACAAAATTTTGAGAGTTTTCAAATTTCATATAGATGGATTTAATTCCAAATTCGTATACCCAAATTCACTCTAAAACTCTGGTTTTAGATGTTACGGCTTGGGGCCCTACCTGACCCTTCAAAAAGCCTATTTTTGATACTCATGTCGACATCGTTGCCTCTTTCTTGTGTAACTCTTTGGTGTGTTGGATGATACACCATCCTCCTCAATCACTTCATGAGGAAAGTTTAGAAAAAGTTGAAAAATAGACATTTTTTTAACATTACCAAACTTCCCAATTTTATGATGTTCAATCACCAACAAGTTATACGAAGGTTTTAGAAAACTTTAAGATTTTTAGAAAAATAATATAGAGAATGTGAGGTGTTAAATCAAACTTTTCTCGACGCCTTCTGAAGACCCGTCTTAACCTTTGAGGTGGACCTGGTGTTGCTATCTATCACTTAGAGACTGGCACTCCGTGCATGTATATTAACTTTCTTATCTATAGTTGAATCTAACTGATCTACTTGATATGTGGTCTTGCCTAGAATGAGTGTACTGTCTTGATTACTATGTCTACAACAGCCAAGATTACGTTAAAATTTTGCTTGATCTTTGGCAAAGATGAGATAAACCCACACACTACTTCCCATTTAAGGGCGGTAGCAATCTTGTTGGGCGCTATCTCAAGGTCTTCACCTACTGACAAGCCATGCATTGTCTTATAAAATCTGCTATGTCCTTCTTCATCCCTTGCCACTAGTAACATCCTTTCACATCCTATAAATTTTTGTACTTCTTGGGTGAGACGTATAAGATGTACCGTAGATTTCAGCTATATTGTTTTTCAGGATTCTCTCATCTTGGAGACACATGGACGGTCTTGCCATAGCAAACCCCCATCTGAAGAGATTGAATACTCTACTGGTCTCTCTATTTCTATCTGATTTCATACTTTGCTGAGGTGCTCGTTAGGCTTCTAGGCGTCAATAACCCGTTTTCGTAGGGTGGATTGCTCGGTCATCAGTGCTATCTGAGTTTTTTCTTGTGTCTAATTCCATACTTTGTTGAGGCCTTGTGGCTCCTAAAGCATTCTTCTCAACCACTATGCAGACTTTCTTTTTATTGACGGTAAGCTACCCTATTCATAGGGTAAAGGGTAAGCTACCCTATTTATAGTTTCCATATTTGTCACCTATAATTTACACCATTTTAGTAGTCCCCTTCTTCTTGATGTTTAGTCTCATTATTTACTTGTGTACCATCGTTTGCCGGGTTTAATATGACAACACAAAATAGCACAAGTTAACACACGAAAAGAACTATTTTATGTAATTCGTAATGCTAACCATGAAGCTCGAGTCGTATAACTTTGAATATTTTTTTTTATAGTAAACAATAAGATATGCACAAATAAGCATACTTTTTTTTTATTCTTGATGACGACGAATGAATTGAGATGACCTTCCACAAGATATATCAATTCTTTTAAGCCTAAATCTCAAAAGTTTTAATTTCTAATGTCTATAACGATTATCCATGACTAAGCATCGCAAATCATCAATATTTTTTCTTTCAACAATAAAATCAAGAACATATACATTATCAAGATGTTTGTGGCGAACTATCCAGATTTGGTCACAACAAGTAGCCTCCTACTCTAAATTTGGATCTTGAATTGGCTACAGATATTCCCAATCATTCTCCTAGATCGAGAGCTACTGTTGACAAACTGTTCTCATTCGTCCAATATCAAGACTACGTTATAAGCATCTTCAAATTTATCACAAAAGCTCAAAGGTGACATGCTTAACATGTTCGTATTTTCTTTCACAACATCATTACGGGATTCAGTGATTGAATGATTAGATGATGAGCAAGCTCTCAAGTTAAAAGATCTCTCTCCATTATCACTAACAACAATCTATGGTACATTCCCCTTGTTGGAAGAACCTGTTGACCTTTTTTTCCTTCCAACTGCTTCTACTTGACCGTAAACAAGATTAAGGTAATATAAGACTGCTGGCCAAAGTGATGAGATATCCATGTTCGGGTTATCCTCTAAAACTTCTTTAAAGGAATCAAGATCGTAATGCTTAGAGTAGCCCATGCACATAAGCCTCTCAAGTGACCCAAGGGGAACATCAATCTTCTTAAATATCAAGATTTCCTTTTTGGCGGTATCAACCAAATCCAGCTTCAAAATTTCGGAGGTTTATTTAACATATTCTTATTACATTCACCATTATGATCCGCCAGGATATTCACTTGTTCCAATCAAATTAAATGAAACAAATTACCAATACTTGAGTAAATCATTTATGCATGAACCAAGAAGTGATCAGTCAGGATATTCACTTGTTCAAATCAAATTATATGGGAAAAATTACAAATCATCGAGTAAACTATTTATGCATGAACCAAGAAAACTACATTGGGTGGCAGCTCTTCGAGTTCTGAGATACATCGAAGGTACTCCTGGTCAAAACTCCTACTACCATCCGAAACAACTTAAGATTACATGCATATTGCAATTCTAATTGGGGGTTGTCGAACTGCCTATTTCTAGATTTTGCATATTCCTTAGCAATTTAGTTATTTATTGGAAGTCTAAAAAACAAACAATGTGTCTAGATCATCAGTAGAAGTCAAGTATGAAGCTATGACAAATACTTGTTTAGAGTTAACTTGGCTGAAATACATTCTTCAAAACTTGAAAGCTCGGCTGTCCGTACTAGTATTGTTGTATTGTGAAAATCAAGAAGCAACATTACAATACATTACTATTTCACTGCCATATTATAGAATAATATTGAGTTTAATGAGTTAATGAAATAAAATAAAAAAATCATTTTATTACCCATCAAAAAGTACAATAGGCTAGAAACCGTATGTTTTTATTTTAAAATATAATTATCCTTCATGAGCTCAAGGAGGGAGAAATTAGAAATTAAATAGTCAAACATTCTATACTTTGAATACTCCTAAACCCATAAAATTTAACATCCTTTCTAAATTTTGTGCTCTTTTCTAAATATAGTTTTCCATCAAACTATATAAAGGGCTTTGCTTTATCAAAAAAATTCAAGCAGCCGCACCTTAGCCATTGCTACTCTTCCTCATTTGTGAAACGAGCTTGTAACCTTACAACTTCAAAATACTCCACAATGGCCATGGACAAAGGTTTCAAGCTCTTTCACACCCTTTTCTTAGTGATTGTTTGGCAATGTTGTGTAAAGGTGGGTGCTACTTTTGGCGATGTCAGCGGTGTCGTAAATCTCGATCATCAATTTTCATTTCGTGCCTTTGGATTACAAGACACACAAGCCTCAACGGTTGCACCGATTGGAAGTAGTACAGAAGTCCCGATGGCTACACCATTTGGAAGCATTGCTCAAACTCCAGAGGCTCTAACTCCAGAGGGTGCATTGGTTGGAAGCATTGCTCAAACTCCGGAGGCTCAAGCCTCGGAGGGTGCATCGGTTGTAAGAATTGCTCAAACTCCGGAGGCTCAAGCCTCGGAGGGTGCATCGGTTGGAAGCATTGCTCAAACTCCGGAGGCTCAAGCCTCGGAGGGTGCATCGGTTGGAAGCATTGCTCAAACTCTGGAGGCTCAAGCCTCAGAGGGTGCATCGGTTGGAAACATTGCTCAAACTCCGGAAGCTCAAGCCCCGGAGGGTGCATCGGTTGGAAGTATTGCTCAAACCCCGGAGGGTGCATCGGTTGAGAGAATTACATTGGAGGCTGCACCATTTGGGAGAATTGCGCTACCACTAGAGGTTGCACCAGTTGGAAGCATTGCTCAAATCCCAACCATTCCACCAGTTGGAAGCATTGCTCAAATCTCAACCATTGCACCAATTGGAAGCATTGCTCAAATCTCAACCATTGCACCAATTGGAAGCATTGCTCAAATCTCAACCATTGCACCAATTGGAAGCCTGGCTCAAATCTCAACCATTGCACCAATTGGAAGTATTGCTTAAATCCCAACCATTGACCAATTGGAAGCATTGCTTAAATCCCAAACATTGCACCAATTGGAAGCATTGCTCAAACCCCAACCATTGCACCCATTGGAAGTAGCACAAAAGTGGGAGAAGTGGGAGAGTAGTATTGCTATGCATAGAGGTTTCTTTGGCTATTAACAAAGTAAAACCTAAGCTAAGCTAAATCATTATTTTTTTTTGACAAATTCATTATTTCTATATTTTTTTCAGAAATGAAATGATATTTCTATATTTTTTTTCTTATATTTAATTTTCTATTTTAACTTTTTTAATATGGTACCGTTTAACGATCTACTAAGCAAGACCATACCCAATAAATTTATTGATGCATTAATACAAATTGTCTCGAACTTAATTAGGTTTGCGAAACCTTTTAACATCAAACTATTCATAAATTAATAAAATTGATTCTAATTATATTTTTTTTAATCTTGGATAGGGGTTGATGACAATATTGGTCAACACTGACCCATATGTCTTGAAGCCATCCCAAATCTCGGAGTGTCGTCAGGCATCAAAACTCACTCGTTCATACCATCGAGAACGGGATTGCGTATCGTTCATCTCATTGGGATGTCTTGAACATCATTTCATCCGAGTTCTATCGACCATTGAGACATGGCAGCGGCGAGAATTTATGTATAAGACAATCAAATTCTTTTAATGGATGATAGATGAAGAATGAATAATATCCAAATAATTATTGCAACAATAGTTGATGAGAACTCCTTTCATACAAATTGATTACTTTCATATATGAATTCAATATTTCCATCTTTAAACGATTTCATCTTGTTATTTACTTTGTAAAATATTTTGAAAATTCAAACTAAATTTTCAAACAAATAAAAAACTGGGTTAATAAATCTTTTTCAAAACTCCAAAACTGCTATAAATCTTTCTCAAAACTTTAAAACAATAAAAGATTTAAAAAGATACAAATTAACAAAAACTTATTTCAATAGTAACATTTGAGTTAAATACAAGAATGGACACTCGAGATTGGGATTCAACCAAAATACAAACTAAAATTAAAAAAAGTAACATTCTTTCGAGACACTCGTCTACCAATGTTCTCCTTCACTGTGACCCAGCATAAGCAACATAGTAGCTAGTTTAGATTAAGACCAAAGGATGGTCTTCACTATGACTCAGGCATAAGCAATAGAGTAGCTAGCTTAGGCCACATGATCAAAGGGTGGTGGAGATAGCTTAGGCCACATGATCAAAGGGTGGTGGAGAGCCTTCACTGTGACCCAGGCATAAGCAACAGAGTAGCTCGCTTAGGCCACATGACCAAAGGGTGGTGGAGAGACTTCATTGTGACCCAGGCATAAGCAACATAGTAGCTAACTTAGGCCACATGACCAAAGGGTGGTGGAGAGCCTTCACTATGATCCAGGCATAAGCAACAGAGTAGCTCGCTTAGGCTACATGACCAAAGGGTGGTGGAGAGTTGACACAATGACTTCCTCTAAGGTACATTTTGAGGTATTAAAAATCTTGAAAGTATGGACATGATTAATCTGGTTTTAGAGGTTAAGGCTAGGGGAGTTAGTATCTTTTCCCCTCCACACCCCTAATGACGGGGAGTTAGTATAGATAAGGTAGCGCTCCTAGATTAGCTTATGTGCTCCCAAAATATGATGGGTGGAAAAGTGTAAAGAATCTCTAATATGGATACAAAGTAGTTGGAACAAGGTCACACTTTATAGATTATGATACATTGGTTTTATGGCAAAGGAAATCATTAAGAGCTCACTAATTCATTTTAGAATTCCACAACGAATCTTAATGAATAGATCATATGTCACACTTAAATATATGTCTTGATTGGGCTAGACCTTGAAAAACAGTGAAGACTAGAACATAAAAAACCGTAAGTTTGAGTGTTTGAGTGCAAACAAAAGCTTGTTTAAGCTACTAAATAACTCCATGAATTATAAAATTATAAATATCTACCTAGGGACTTTTGAGTTTAAAAAAAATAAGATCATAAAACATAAAAAAATTATATTTATTATAAAGTTTAAAGTGAACGTCTTAAAAATGACTAACAAATTGACAAAAGTTTCCACAAAACATACCTAAAAAAATTGTATAAAAGAAGTATAAAATTAAATAAGTAACCTACTTATCCGCTCTCAACTGTGTCCTTGGTGAATGCTAAGGTACTATCTCTATGGTTTGACCAACAACGTAACATAATTTCTAATCTTAGAACCTTGGTCCTAAATCATGAGTCATGAGTCACGATACTCAGTCGATCCTTGTACCTAACCCTGTTCTGCCACAAAAAATGCTCCCTTAGAAGCCTAGAAGACTTAAAAAAATCAAATGGTCGATGAATATCATAAACCTAAACTTGTCATCCCACAAAAAAAATAAAAAATAAAAACATGGGAAGGACATCTTATAAGTAAATATGGACAGGTTTCCTATAACATGGGTTGGGCATCCTGTCTAGGTGTAAAAAAAACAGGAATACGAAACATGACATCCTCAAAATAAAACATGGGTAAGATATCTTGCAAGAATCACAGGAAGGGTAAACTTGTAAGAAACATGGACATGATGTCGTTCAAGAAACATGTGAGGAAAACATGGGATCATAATGCATATCATGGTGGGAGGTCTAGGATGACTAAGGTTATGCGTTAAAGTAGAACCAAGTAGTCTTAATGGCTCAAGACTAACTTAAAGGTTTCTTCGCTCCAACTTAAAGGTTTCTTCTCAAAACTTAAGGCGCAAGTCACAATGTGAGATTTGTATGTTCTATCCGAGGACATAGGTCATAACCATAAACATTTTGTAATCACATGCATGATTAAAAGTATACCAAATAAACATCATACAACATGTCAAGTTCATAAAATTAATGAAGGTTAATAAAAGAATCATTATAGTTAATTTTATAATTTTATGTCGAAGTATTTTCTTATACCTAAAACATGGTTTAATAAATTTGAAATTTTACATATAGTCATCTATCATACTCATATAAAAGTTTGTATCATTTTGAGTTCTTTAAAGCCATAGAAACCTATTGAGGTCATTTTTTATGTGAATTTTGTTTAGAATCTAAACTTTCTCCAACTACCTTGAAACCTTACATAGTCTTTTATATCCTTATAATTAGGCGTAATATAGATTCTTAAGTCATATGGAGTTCATCTAAACCATGAAATATCTTAAAACATTCTACAAGTATTTTTGTCATTATTCACCGTCTTTGTTGAGTTCCTAAACATTCTCGGATTACTTTGAAATATTTTATAACAATTTTTAACATTAAAAATATGCTTCATATAATATATTAAGTAATTTGAAGTTTATTTAGGATTTGAAATAACTTACGGACATAGTAGGGACATTTTGGTAATTTATCCCTTCTAATTTGTTTTAGGCACTAAACATGCTACTACTCATGGCTTGGGAAGGTATATAGAAAATGATGTAAATAATCACAAGTATAAGTGCAAGAATATACTATCTGAGGTAAACCAAGGCATCAATCATACCATATAAACTTCAAGAAAGATGTGAGAAAAATGTTGTTCAAATTATCATAAGATATCTAGGTTTTGTGCATGGTCAACATCGTGCTTGTCTTTCGAAATGTTGCCCATGTCTTTGTCTTGGGAGATAAATAAGCAGTCGGCATCGTCCGCATGACCAACATGGATGTAAGCCCCCAAAAATAAAAATAAAAATTAACTCCAATAAGAATAAGTCACTCATGTAACCTTCAAAGGTCCAAGGAAAGAAATTAAGAGGACTAAGAAAGGAAATTGATCTTTAACCAGTCATTTCTAAGGCTAAAAAGTGATTTTGAGGACTTGAAAGGCCTTTGGATACGTATGGGAAAGGAAAAGTAATTGAAAATGACGAAAAAAAAGTCATTTTTCTAATTTTTAAGGGACTTTCTCGATTTTTAATTTGTTATCTAAAACTAATTTCAAGGTACTCAACGGAAAAAATGACTACAAGGGATTAAGAATATTTAGAAAATTATCAATTTTTTGAAAAAATACTAATAAAATATTCTAAAATTGGAAAATTACCAACATACCCTTGAAGTTATAGATAATTATAGATATGCTATACTGCTCAAAATCAAAACCTCTACGGTGACCTCTTGCACAAAATCCTTCGGATCTTAAAATCCAGCCGTTGGATCTCCTTTAAAATTGAAAATGAATAAAAGTCGGTAGCGCGCTGATCAAAGAAGATATTTCTAACGGATTATCCAAAAAAATTAAATCTCAAAATCATGACGATTCTGGATGCTTCAATATTGGTGGAAGCTTCCCCTATAATGTTTGAAGTTGGGGCAATAGTATGGAACAAGAATCGAGTTCGAGATCCCAATCGTAGGTAATAAGCGTTTAGAGTTTGGGTCTCATACACTCGGATTTCTTCCAAATTTAAGATTCATTATCCAATCATTTCCCTCCAAACTTGTTTCTACCATTTCTAAACAAGATGAAAAAAGATTACTCACAAGTTCTATGAAGAAATCGAGGGTTGAAAGTGCCTAAAAACCATTCCTCCAATCTAATCCGCCATTGAAGAGCTTCAAGGAAAACTTAAAAACCCAATCTGAGGATACATGATAATTTGTCAAGGAAGGACGATCCCGATCCGTTTCTGCACCTCCAGGGAATGTTTTCATAGAAAACCACGAAAAGAAATAACTTCATGAGCGTTCCCAATTGAAGAAAATTAGTTTCAAGCTCAAATTGGGGATAAGTGTCGAATTCCTATCTATGATCCCTTTTCCTTTTAAGTTGAGGATTCCTTTAATTTCAAAGGAAGAAGTTGAGTAATTTTGATGAAGGAACAGAAAGCTGAAACTTTGTAGAACAAGCTATCCAAGAGATCGATTTCTGGTGTTTCAGGTAACTTGCAAACCAAGGATGATTCTTCAAAATTGGGGACACACTCAAAATTTTTTCTTCCAAACCCATTCGTTTAGCTTGAGGGAAGGATAAGGTGGAAGTTTCATGAAGAAATTGAGCCTTGAAAACCCTTAGAATTGACTACCAATAAGAAATCCTCTGTTTTAGCTCTGACGAGAAAATTGGTTTTCGACGAACTTTGGAGGGAAGATATGGCGTGATCTGAGCTAGAGAAACACGTTTTAAGATGGTGGTGCACATAAACACGCATGTCTTCTTCCGGTCCAGAGAAA